TTTGCACTCTGGTGTTGCTGTGCAAGTGTGGCGACAAGCTGCCTTTCGCCGGCACCACTCTTTGGTGGCTGATTTGCATGGTGGCTGATTAATTGGGGACTACAGTTATTGACATATATCGATATATGAATAATATAAAAATATTTAAGTGTTTAGAAATTATTAGGTATAAAAACTCATATGAAACATTAACCTAGAAATTTGAAAGAATATTATTCAGTCTAAATCTCAGTGGCAGTGTGTATTAATTTTATTTATTATTTTATATCATAGTACTGTATATTGTTTATTGTATATTATACTATATGTGGTTTTGGCATTTCCTTACTCCAATAATAACCATGTATAAGTGTTATGTTAGAGCACACCCAAACCGGGGGCTGAATTAAGGGATATAATAAATGTAGTTCACTCTGCAACATTAATTTCTAATTATATGTTCCTTCTATTTATCTAGGAAAGTTAAGATGTAGACAGCTTCGTGTCAAGCAAAGACCCAAAAGAATTGCCATTTCTTGTAATGGTTGTCTGGCGACCGTTGAATGCAATTTCTCAAATCTTTATTGTCGCTGACTTGCTGGTACTTTTTCGAGTTAAGGTTGTAATTGTGGAACTGATGGCATGAACTCACATTCTCTTTTCGAGAGGAGGTTAATTAATGAAATGACATATACTAAGTAATATGAACTGAATAAAATCTGAACTCAGTAGGAGAGGCCAATTGCTCTTGTATTGTATATACAGTAGGTATCGTTTATAACTCATTGCAGTATTTGCATCAGTTTGGTTCGAATGTTGCATCTTTACTCTGAACGGAGTGCGTACAACCATGCATGCATGTATTGTGGGTCAAAATCACTTTGTTTGTTACTACTGTGTATGCTAATTTTAATTTGTTCTATATATTGGTAGAATACATTATTTTCACTGACACAGTTGTGTTGAGATGACTATATAGTATCTGACTTTATATTATTTCTTTCAGTCATGGCCTTACTCGGAACAATGAGTATAAAGGTACTCAGCTCGCTGAGAAAAAGGAGAATGTTTAAAGATTTGAGTTGTTTTGTACTCGTTGTTTTGACTAAGGCACTTCTTTTACTCACTGTGAGTAAATATCGCACTTTACTCACGTTTTAGGTGTCACTGGGAATGGATTTTGGTTTACTCAGAAACTTAAGTAAAATTTTACTCATTGTTTTGCGTAAAACCTGCAGTTTACTCACTGTGAGTAAAAATCGCATTTTACTCACGTTTTAGATGTCACTGTGAATGCATTTTGTTTTACTCAGAAATTTGAGTAAAATTTTACTCATTGTTTTGCGTAGAACCGGTAGTTTACTCACAGTGAGTAAAAATCGCACTTTACTCACGTTGTAGGTGTCACTGTGAATGCATTTTGTTTTACTCAGAAATTTGAGTTATTTTTACTCAAACTTTGTGTGTCAATGTGAATGCATTTTTTTACTCAAATATTTGAGTTGATTTTACGCAAGGATTTCTTACAGTGATTGCAGTCTCAGTTAAGAAAACTTGCGCGCGTTTTGATTTACAAGTACTGTAGTTTTGTCTGATTTATCTTGCGTTTACTGCTTTAATTTCAATTATAAAGACAAGTATTTTAGAACCTGAGATGGAAAATCGGGAAATGGTTGTTAAATGCCCAACCTCAACTATATCATATACATATAGGAATGCAAGATTTTGTGCATTCTATTCAAATTACGCACAACAACACAGACCAACAATACTTTATTCATTAAATTTCAATGGCAAACCGAAACGGTAATGTTTTATATTGATTACTGAACGATGGAATTTATTTTATTAATACTGTCTGTGAGATGAGATACAGTATACACTACACAGCTGGACCTAAGCTGGTGTTTCATGAAAATTTTTGCCAACTCGAATTTTATATTTGATTTTTAAATTAACCATTAATTTAAGCTGCAATGTTTCCAAATATACCTTATTTTATTGTTTTATTCTGGCTAACGCAGACAATTTTTATCTAATTTGCCAAGGGGATCTTATACCGTAAACCTCCGACTATAAGCCCTGGGCTTATATACTTTCGTATAAGCGATTTTTGATGGGCTTATACAAGGGGGGAGGGATCATATACGCGGGGGGGCTAATACATGGATGATCTTTTGTGTTAGTAATAAACAAATCAGACATAAACAAGTCAGTCATAAACAGGAAAATATACATCCATTAATAACGTGCTCTGATTAATATAACATATAGTCGGCTATAAAGACAATGACAATGTTTTTAAATATCGTTCTTTGCTATATTAAAAGACAATGAAAATATTGAATAACGTAGTGGGCTACTGGGCTTATATTCGGGGGACTTATATTTTGGGGGCTTATATTTGGGTGTGCTTATGTTCAGGGGGGGCTTTTATTTGGAATGAATTGAGCGTTAGTATATGTGGCGGGCTTATATTCCGGGGGGCTTATATTCGGGGGAGGGGGAGGGCTTATAGTCGGGGGGGGGGCTTATAGTCGCAGGTTTACGGTATAATGACAGAGATAATTTTACCTATCATTGGGCTATCAATGGGAGAGTCCTGAGTATTAATATTTAAGAGTGGAAATATTGATTATGATATAATGTTCACATTATAAAATCCCCAAACATAATTCTCTTTCTCGACCATGTCAAAAGATACACTAAACCTAATAAGTTCTTATTGCAACAGATTCTCATATTAAAGTTGAATAATTGCCACATGTAGCACTTGTTAAGGTGAGATAGCACATCTCTTATCCATCCAGGACAAATGACCCATTTGACACAGTTAATTAACAATTAAAATAAATTAATTAAAATGGCAATGTATCGATATGATTTTTCAATGGCAAAATGCAATTGGACTGTACGGGCCAGTCTGTACCAGTGACTAATTATATAGTTAAGCTAGGTGACACTTGCTCGATGGCTTCCCTGTTAGATACTGTACTCCTTTTGAAAAATATTAATTGCCACATGTAGTGTTAAGGTGAGATCATGGCACATCTCTTATCCGTCCTGGACAAATGACCCATTTGACACGGTTAACATTATAATGAAGTAGTTTTTCATTCTTGAAATGGCGATGTATTGACATGATTTTTCAATGGCAAAATGGAATTGAACTGTAACAGTGATTAATTATATAGTTAAGGGACACTTGCTCAATGGCTACCCTCTGTTATATACTGTGCCTACTCCTTTTGAAGTAATTAAAATTGCTACATGTAGTGTTAATGTGAGATGGCACATCTCTTATCTTATCATTGCATGTGATCAATGCTTATTTGTCTCAACAAAGAGATGGTTTGCGCTCTAGCTAGCTATCTCATTGACAATTAGATAACGAGTAGCGTAAAGCCAATCAGAATACAGCATTTAAAAATGCATTAGAACTTGACAACATTTAAAATTACTAAATATATATACTGTATAGACTAATGTGAAAATGAGTACTTTTAGGATGACGACTCCATTGTCCATTGATAAAGAAGTGAGGAAATCAACCTATAGCTATCCTTGAATCTTGGCATCAGGTGACATTGCATCCTTGGACCCATTGTACATTGCTGCCATGGGGCACATTTACTTGCGTTTTGCTGGTAAAAATATTCCACACACTTATTGCTACATTCCATGTTCTAAATATGGAATACACTCCAGGTGTTTCGAGTGTTTATACATTTCTAGAATTTAGAAGCTGTCACCTTAAACCGCCCTGCTGATACCGAGAACAAAATTTCTGTACAACAACTTTTAAGTGAGCTTGGACTCTGAAATTAATCGTGATAAATACTTAGTTCATATAAATTCATGCATGTTAAAGGTATTTCTTGTCAACGAGTAATTTATAATAATAACCAATTTTGAACCTATATTTCTCGTTTGTGTGTGTCTTAATATGCCTGGTTGAAAGTGTTAAATCAACACCTTAAATCTGGTGTTATTTTAGCACCAGATAGGAAGAGGTGTTGCTTTGGCACTGCCAAATCAGGTGTTATTTTAACGCCACACTATAGGTGTTAATTCAACTCTTAAAACTGGTGTCACTTTAGCACTTAAAAGTGGTGTTAGTTTAACACTATAAACAGGTGTTAAATTAACCCCAAAAACTAGTGCTAATTTAACACTAAAAATGGGTGTTGTTTTAGCACCATATCTAGTGTTATTTTAACACTTTTTAGTGGTGTTAAAATAGCACCAAAAAGTAGTGTTATTTTTTACCTAATTTTTTAACACCACTTTTTGGTGTTATTTTAACACCCTAAAATTAACAGTGTGCACGGTAGATGGAAAATCTGAACAGCCATTCTGTTCTAATATAAATTCTATCTAAAACGCTTCAGTTTGCTTCTTTCAATCGAAAACCGGCCGAAGATATTCGCTTTTCAATATCTCAACAATTCACTTCGTATGTAATAGAATTTTCAGGAAACACTTATCTTTTCGCAGAAATTTGTGTGCACGGTAGATGAAAAATCGGAGATGTCCATTCCATTCAGCATAAAATTCCGCTTCATTCCATAGTAAAGTTCTATAATTAATTGTATATAGAAAACATTTTATCGCGTTCATACCTCCCAGCTGACAATAAAATTTCACTTAGTTTTCTGACAAGCGGAAATGATCGTCGCGCGTATACTGAGCACAGTTTTGTGTGCACGGTATACGTACATGGAAAATCTGAAACGGCCATTCTATTCTATTCTAATATAAATTCTATCTAAAACGCTTTAGTTTCCCTTTCTCATACAAAAACTGCCCGAAGATATTCGCCCTTCAATATCCCAACAATTCACTTTCAATTGTCATGTAAGGGAATTTTCAGGAAACACTTATCCTTTCCCGGAAATTTGTGTGCACGGTAGATGGAATTTCGGAGATCCATTCAATTCACCATAAAATTCCGCTTCTTTTCATAGTAAACTTCTGTAGTCAATAAATTATATCGTCGCGCGCACATGAGATATGTACACATATACATCAAAGCCAAAAGACAGATTAGACATCAGTAAATAAGTGATACGCTATATAGTTCGGGTGTTAATTTTGGCACGTAGAGGAACAAGACCTGATGCAAGTTCATCATTGTACTTTGTTATTTTAGTTTTAAAACATGCATGACTGGTATGCTTGTATTATTTGAGCCAGGAATCAACGATCTAGTATGAAAATAAATAGGAATAAATAAGAAGTATCATTGTATTCATGCGCTGAATTTTCGCGCATGTTTTCGCGAATTTCGATAAAATTTTTCTATTTATAATTGATTATAGAAGTTTACTATGGAATGAAGCGGAATTTTATGCTGAATGGAATGGACATCTCCGATTTTCCATCTACCGTGCACACAAATTTCTGCGAAAGGATAAGTGTTTCCTGAAAATTCTATTACATACGAAGTGAATTGTTGAGATATTGAAGGGCGAATATCTTCGGCCAGCTTTTGTATGAAGAAGGGAAACTAAAGCGTTTTAGATAGAATTTACATTAGAATAGAATGGTCGTTTCAGATTTTCCATCTACCGTGCACACAAGACTGTGCTCAGTATACGCGCGACGGTAATTTCCGCTTGTCAGAAAACTAAGTGAAATTCTATTGACAGCTGGGAAGTATGAACGCGATTAAATGTTTTCTATATGTAATTGATTATAGATATTTACTATGGAATGAAGCGGAATTTTATGCTGAATTGAATGGACGTCTCTGATTTTCCATCTACCGTGCACACAAATTTTTGCGAAAGGAAAAGTGTTTCCTGAAAATTCTATTACATACGAAGTGAATTGTTGAGATATTGAAGGGCGAATATCTTCGGCCAGTTTTTGTATGAAGAAGGGAAACTAAAGCGTTTTAGGTAGAATTTACATTAGAATAGAATGGTAGTTTCAGATTTTCCATCTACCGTGCACACAAAACCGTGCTCAGTATGGGCGACGGTAATTTCCGCTTGTCAGAAAATTAAGTGAAATTCTATTGTCAGCT